TCAGACTGCACCCAGTCCCAATGCAGACAGTGCCGTGCCAGGAAGGGTGTGGGCAGCAGGGACCCCGAGACTGTCCTCCAGCTCAGGGGGCCCCGGCAGGGTGTCGGGGTGACCTCTGGTTTCTGCTTTACCGTTTGGCTGGGAGTTCAAATCAGAGCCGCTCAGACTCAGAACACTTGAACGATCTCAGCCTGACTGACTGTACAGCCAGAAAGTGATTAATTAGAGGCAGGCGACCTGCTCATTTTCCTGCAGTTTTTCATCAGCTTCCAGTCTCCTAGGTCTTGCCTGTCAGCATGGCCGAGTGGTAAAGGTTTCTTGTGTGAAGATTTGGGAATCTATTGACTGCTAAACTCGAGGACTTTCTGGAGTTCCGCTCTTTTTCCTGTACCTTTTCTGTGAAGAAACAGACTCCTTCATCTCATCGTAGTGCAGGGATTTCAGACAGTCCTCTGACACTTACGTGTGGCGCCCCGGCCAGATCACACTGTTCCTGAGTCACACCCGATTCGTCAGCAGCCGGAGTTCTTGTCCTCTGTGTTGACTGCTCCCAACTGTGTTGTTGTGATGTGTCAGAATCTTAGCTCCAGGCCAGTGGAGTGAGTGTAAATGCCAAATAAATACAAAACACAAATCCTCAGACTCTGAAGGAGCCACAGCAGATGGTCAGTGTACCACGTCAGGTTTCTGTTTCCTGTTTCCAAAAATGCACGTTTACGTAAGACGTCTGAATGATCTGGCTGATAGTGAGACATTACTGAGCGTTTCCTGCTGATACGTGAAGTACAGATAAACCGTCCCACTGTGTATTAAACGTCCGGATTCTGCTCTCTTTGGGGCCTAGGCAAGTTTATATATGTAATACGTGCACGTGTGTGCTTTTTTAAAGTAACGTGGCGTTACTTGCATGACTTATTTGCTGCAAACGGCTTTCGGCTTAACCATTGCCCACTTACCCATTTTAAGCCTCACTTTTCAACTGAAAATTCGCAAGTCAGAGCCAGGATCTCAGGCTCCTCCCAGCTCTGCGAGCCCAGCCCTGCGAGCCCAGCCCTGTGGCCCTTCCAGCCCGCTTGCTTGGCCTGCAGGGCCGAGCACACGCCACCTTTTGACGTGCACAGGTGTCCTCGCTGGCTCAGCCGTGAGGCTCCTAGACCCCAGCCATCCAGGCCTCAGCTGCCTCCACACCTCACTTTGCTCTCTCGTGTGTGTCAGTTAAGCAAGTTGGCGGGGCCGTTTTTATTGTGGGTAAAATGAGTACAACAGAAGACTTACCATCTTCACCACCTCTGAGTGCACAGCTCATGGGCATCACATGCACTCACACTGTTGCACAACCGTCACCCCATCCGTCTGCCTTCACTCTTTTTATCTTGTGAAATCGAAACTCAGTCCCCATTAAACACTTACCGCCCCACCCCTCCCCCAGCTCTGACAACCACTGTCCCGCCTTCTGTCCCTGGGACTCTGGCTCCTCTGGGGACCTCACTTGGGTGCAGGTTTGTCCAAAATGAACCTTTTGTGACAGGTTCATTTCACTCAGCATAATGTGGTAGCAGGTGTCAGGACCTCCTGCCCTTCGGTATTCCTGTATGGACAGACTGTTTGGGTTATCTGTCGTCCACCGATGGGCACTTTGGCTGTTGTGAGTCGTGGCGTCGTAAACATGGATGTGCAGACCTGCTCAGGGGGAGACCGTTCCAAAGGGTGGCGGTGTGACGAGCTGGAGCTCACCAGCGTAAACTCCTCCCAGATCTGGATGCTGACCGGGGACAAACTGGAGACGGCCACCTGCATTGCCAAGAGCTCCCACCTGGTGTCTCGAACGCAGGACACTCACGTCTTCAGACCGGTAAGTGCCCGCCTCAGTGACGTCCGATTTAAATGTTTTCTCTCACAATTAAAATCTACTCGTTTTGTGAAAATGTATATGCAGTTATTGATCAATTATTAAAAGTCTGTTTTAAAGGAGAAATAATTTTCTTACTCAATTTATAAAAACATGATGAAGTAGATTTCTATTAGTTACATATATTAAATGTGAACAAAAAGCTGCTTTTGATAGAGTGGAATAAGTTCTAAATTCAAAAGTATTTTTCTGTTGTACTATTGGAATTATTTATTAACAGCTAAATATTGCTTTTAAAACAGACACACCACAGGCATTTTCGGTTCAGTTTGTGGAAGTGTGAGGACACACACACATAGTCCGGGGGCTGCTTGTGTGAAACTGGCTCTAAATACAAAGTAGAAATGTATTTTCAGTCTCCCACCATTTTCAGATTAAATGCTCTTCCATAATTGGACCAAAGAAAATTAGTTGAAATTATCTAAATTTATGTGTTTACTGTATCTGTTAGTTATGATGAAATTTGATTCAAACAAAAAATAAAAGTTTCTTGGGTCTTGATTGATGGCGGCCTAACAGACATTGTGTGTGTTTGTTCCTCCAAATGGAGCCCGTGCACCTACAGAAATTGCGATGTGAATATAATTTACATGTAAATGTAGTTCATTTCCAAGCATCGGAATCACAAATTAGGCCCTGCAGACTACTACTTGCAATTAAATTATTAATGATTCTGATAAAACTTCAGATCAGTTTTTGTTGACTTTCCAGTGTTACAGCACCACAAATAAAACCACGATAGCATTTCCATAGTAAAACCTGCCTATTTAAAGATGAGTCTGGGATTAATTTGGACCACGTGAAATTTCTGGTTTATTTCAGTCTTGTCATTTCCTTTATGTCCCAGAAAATCTCCACAGGAAGAATGTCAGAAACTGGTATGTTGGTTTCTGAAATGTTTTCATTCTGAAATTAATGATATTTCGAGATTATGACCTGATTTCACTCCTTTAAATCCTTAAATCCTCAGACATTTACTTGCTTGAACTAACAGAGTAAGTTGAGACCCACGGCAGAGACAACAGGGATAGCTTTATAAGCCGTGTGTGTCACTTGGCACCTTGTGAAGACATCTTTAAAGGAACCGTGAGGATTTCGGTGTCCTGCCCCGCCCCCTGTGCCGTGAGGCACTCGGCTTCCTGGCTGACGTGCACTGTAGTGGGACTGTGACTCCAGAGACCGGCGTCCCTCGCGTTGGAAGTCCCCCACCCGCTACCCCTTTGAAAGTACAGAAACGTTCAACTGATAGTGATCGTGCTCTCTTACCGAAATACGCTGATGAAGGCCGTGTCTTCCCCCGCTGCACAGAGACCGCTGTTAGCCCGTGGTGGGGGCGGGGGCGAGGGGGCGTCTCTGTGGACAAGCCAGCTTCTCTGTCCCTTTTCTCTTGTTGTAATGGTGTGCGTGCCCTGCACTTTGCCACGTAAGATTCCTGTTGAGCTGCTGTGCGTTGGAAGATACTCCGTGTTAAGCAGGCATTTATTCCCAGAGGAAACTGGAAAGAGCTGTTTGTCAGTTTCATGTCAGTTTCCCGTCCATTCAGGACCGAAGGGCAGGAGGTCCTGACACCTGCTACCACACCTCCTGTCCTGGAAGTGTCTGAATGTCTCTTGTGATTTGTAAATCAGGGCCTACCTGTTGGTGCCTCTGAGTGGAAACGTTGTGATTCGGGTCCTTTCCCTCTTCCTGCAGGTAACCAGTCGGGGAGAGGCCCACCTGGAGCTGAATGCTTTTCGAAGGAAGCATGACTGTGCGCTGGTCATATCCGGGGACTCCCTGGAGGTGAGGCTGGTCTCAACCGAGCAGGTGTCTGTCCATCTCCCTGAAAGTGAAGCTGGTCTCGACCAAGCATGGGTCTGTCTGTCTCTGTCTGTCTCAGCCAAGCCCCTGCCTGCTCCTCCTGCTGGCTGACTCTGGGCTCCCGAGTCAGGTGCACTTCAGCAGCCTCTGCCGGCCCCCGCTACTTGTCAGGCCTCTGCCGCCAGGGCAGAGGTCTGTGCCCCCGCGGGGACCAGCGACTGCCTGCAGCAACATCACACGAGGTCAGGGTGAGAAGCTGGCCCTCGGTGCTTCGGCGCTGGCTTATTTCAGGCTCATCAGAGCTCTGCTTGGGCACTCGGAGCTGCACTCCCTGCCGATCGTTCGGCGGGCCTTGGTCTTGACTCTGGTGCCCACAGTCCTGATCCTGATTTGTCCAAACCCGAGTTTCCAGAGCTGTGCCTGGGACACAGGAAACAGGAGCCTGGAGGCCCCGGCGGGGGCCTAGGCAGCTGAGGCGTCCAGGCCAGTCCTCTCCTCCCGCCCCTTCTCTCCCCACTCTGCTTCAGGTCTGCACCTAGCAGGCCCGGCCGTTGTCCCTCTGGTCACGCTCAGGTGGTCAAGCAGGCCACTGAGGCCAGCCGGGCTTGAGGGAGGGGACAGACCACACCTCCCCCGGAGAAGGGGCATGATGGCCGTGCCCCCATGAGCCGCCCCAGTTTCACAAGGCCACGCGCCGCACAGGTTGTGCAGTGCGGAGGCTGGTTCCCTGAGCAGCTTCTCCCCCGGGGGCCGGTAGGGGGGCCACGCGTCACACGGCAAGCCCCTCCACACTGCTGTGGGTTCCCTGCATCGTGCGTCTGGGGCTGCTGTCCCTGCCCCGCCGCCCCCAGCTGCTGCCCTGTGGCCTGTGTCTGGGGGTGGAGGACTTGGAGGTGCCTCCCCCCACTCTCCCGGGCCTGACCGAGCGCCCCCCTCAGCTTGTCTCCGCTCTGCAGTGCCGGCGTTGCCAGTGTTTACTGCGTGGTGGGGGCTACCAGAGCTGCTCACCGCCTTCAATATCTGACATGTGCTCTGTCCCCCGACTCCCGCCAACATGGCCACGGAGCTGCTATTCGGCATTTATCCCCCACTGCCTGCTGCTCGTGTGCCCCCTGCCTCCCCTGAAGGACCAGGCCCC